CCAGCGCCAGCGACTCACGGCAGCCCAGCTGAGCTGTTGTTCAGCATCTTAGCTGTGGAGGGCAGTGTCACTGGCCCTCATATGTGGGGTCCGAACCGGGGCCCTCTGGTGTTCCAAGCCAGTTCTTAACCATCGCGCCACTCGGCCGGCCCCATCTTGTATTGATTTTGACATAAAGCATGATAGGGACCCAGTGGCCTGTCACTGGTAATATTAATTTCCAGTCAGTGTCTTCTAGGCTGTGAAGCATGGGTTCCCATGCAAAAATGGAATACTCATTGCAATGCGGTTGTGCCCATGTCATTTATTAATTACTCCATCCTTTATTCCTCTGTATCATACATTAAGTGATTATGTATGCTTGAGTCTGTTTTTCTTCTTTATTCTGTTTTATTGATCTGTCTCTTTTGGTTCTGGTATCATGCTGTTTTTATTTCTGTAGCTTAAAAATACATTTTTCTATCTGAAAGATGATAAATCCTCCCTCTGTACTCTTCTTTTTTCCCCTCAGCAGGTTTCTGACTATTTTGATGACACATTTACTTTTCAAAATTTCCTTCAGAATTCTATTTTCATGTTAAATAACAATATCTACCTCACTGGAAGATTCATATTCAACAAGTCTTGATATATATAAGATGACTTGGAACAGTGGCTCGTGAGGTAAATATTCAAGAAAGTTAATTATTAAGTGACAAAAGTCCAACTTGAGTTATCTTTAGGAAAAAAGGAAAAAAGGAGACTTTATGGGTTCATGTAACTGGTAGCCCAGGGCAGAGCTTGACCCATAAGTATAGGTAGTACTGCCTCTCTCCATGTCACTGGCCATGCAGAACTCAGCCTCCAAACTTGAAATCCCCAAAGGGAAGAGGGCATCTACCCCAGGGCTCTAGCTGAGAAATCTTGGGGAAGTTTCTAACTGAACAAGCTTTGATTTAACATGCATCTCTGAGCCAAATGGTATGAGTGGACATGCTGACCTCATACCCCCACCAGTGGTCATTCCCACCTGCTCAGCATGGATAGGATTCTCCTTGGGAGAGAGGGATTCTGCGCCTCGAAGACTGGGATGGGATACATACTGGTTGGAAAAGCAACAGCAAAAAGCAGATGATACCATATTATGCTTTGAGTTCTTTGTGGTACTTCTACATGGCCTCCATATATGGTCCACGCTATTACTGAAAAATTAAAAAGTTGGGTTGCCAAACTGACTTTGCCCATCGTGTCAATCAGAGTTCACTTGCAGGTGATGGAAACCCCTCTGGGTAGTTTATGATGAGAGGAGCTCAGTACCAAGCAGTAGGGATTCAGTACTGACAGAATGAGAATCGGAGGAGCTGACCCCAGGCTGAATGTCCAGAAAGGACGTCCACAACCACACACAGCACTAAAGATACTCTTGAAAGAGGACTTGCAGAACTGCTTCAGAAAGTGGCGAGAACAATGGGATAAGTGTGTTCAAAGTGAAGGGGAGTGTTTTGTGGGGGATTAATGGCAGTATGTCTTTTACTGTAATAACAATTTTTTTTAATTTAAACATTCATCGTATTATTGGATCACACCTTGCATATATTTGTATTTTTCTCATTTCACCGATTTTCACTGGATCATTGAGAATCTTACACACACCAGTTCTGGGTCATGAAATACCCTTAGGAAAATCCTGCTATACTGGGTGTACAGAGAAAACAAAAGGAGGTGAAACTTAAATAGGTGATGTTCGCTACTTCTTAATTAATTAGCCTCTCTGTGTTTGGTAGGAAAGAACCCACAATTACATATTGCAGGGTGTTGTGTTGAATTATGCATGAATTTTGTTATGTATTTATTTATGCCTGCCTTCCTGCCTGCTTGCTTTCATGCCCTTACCTCTCCCCTACCCCCATTGTTTCTGCCTCCCATCACTGGAAGTTGACTAGGCCTGTTCTTCCCAGACTGTTGACTTTCCCTCCTTAATCTCTATGTTTTCCTGCTCCCCAGCTGTTACTTGAACACCAGGATGCATATCAGGCTGGAACCGTATTTCCTGATGCATTCTACCCCAGCATCTGTGGAAGAGGTAAGATGAAGATGTGCAGACCAAACTATGTCACCTTTACTTAGTCAATAGAAATCTCTGTGACTTAAAAAAACATAATACCACATTATATTTTCTGTTATTTTTGGTCCATGACTGAGCCCACAGAATTGCATTTTCCATTTAACCAAAACTTACGTGCTTAGAAATTCTGAAAGCATAGGAATTCTGAAAACTTTAACCCTCGTTTGCACTGCTTTGAGGCAGAAGAGAAAACATTTTGAGAGACCAAGTCTTGAGTTTTTGTTCCTTCTGTGTTGTCTGTTAGCATGTGATCTTGAAGAAGTCACTTCCATGCATGTTTCCATGTCTATAACATGGTCATGGTAGTGCCTGCTTGCTGTTTTACTGGATTTTTGTTGACATGAGTGCATATTATTTTGTCACGTGTTATGCAAATCTAAGGTAGTGTTATGGATTGTATCAGTCCAGGGCCCCAGCTGGACACAGAAGGTACACTCAAACTTGGTCATTTAATGGGAGTTTTATAAGGGGACCGGTTACAAAATTATGGTGAAGATGGAAGAAATTGGAAGGGATGGTGCAAGGGAGGGAGCATTTGCTGTAACTGCAGAAAGAGAGAGAACTGTACGGAGAAGGTCTCTTGATGGGGGCAATGACCTTCCCTCAAGGGACACAGGCAGCCCACTGTGACCCCACAGAACAGAAGCTAGGAGAATAAGTACCCCAACTTTTTTCTCTTACGTCCTGTCCTGTTGGTTCCTCCTACTGGCCAAACCCAACCCAACTCAACCAAAGTGAGAGGGCAAAGAAGCCAGTGTAAGTAGGTCAC